TGAATGTTGGCCTTTAAAAGAGAAGCATAATAATAAGTTAAGTGTTGCCGAGATGAGAATGATTAGGTGGATGAGTGGCTTTACACTTAGAGACAAAATGCGGAATGAATATATTCGTGATAGGGTTGGTGTAGCTCCTGTGACAGACAAAATTAGAGAAAGTCGTCTTAGATGGTTTGGTCATATTAAACGTCGACCATTAGATGATCCGATTAGGAGAGTAGATGTTTTAAATTCGACTTGTGTTAAGAAAGGCAGAGGTAGACCTAGGAAGACTTGGGCTTATTGTATTAAAAATGATCTTAATTTACTAGAACTAAATGAAAATTTGACACTAAATAGGACGCAATGGAGAAAAAGGATTCATGTAGCCGACCCCACGTAGTGGGATTAAGGCTTTGTTGTTGTTGTTGTTGTTGTTGTTGTTTAATTTTCATAGCTCCAAAAATGTGTAGAAGAGGTAGTTCCTCTTCATATGACAAGAAATGTTTTGTGAGGTCGGCGGCTCAACAATGTTTATTGAGTTTTGTAGGAAAGAAAAAGCTTATCCTACAAAGATCCTTTCAATTTCTCAGAATTGGGGGGTGAGGAGGAGTTATAGAAATAGATATTTTGCGTCGTGGGTGGCAGAATTTTGAGTTTCACAGGAAAGAAAAGGCTTATCTTACAAAGAGCCTTTCAATTTCTCGGGATTGGGGGTGGGAGGAGTTATAGAAATAGATATTTTGCGTCGTGGGTGGCAGAATTTCACTTACATGTTTGAACCCGCAATAGTCACTCATGCCCATGAATTTTACGGGAATGCGAAAGAATCTGTGGACGGAGGAGTTTGTGCGGGGAAAGATGATTCCATTTAATGCCACTACCATTAACCATATTTATGATGTGTCCGACATCCATAACTGTGGGATTTCTAGCCTCATTTCCCCTTATTACCAGAAGGTAATAAGTTTTCTCATGGCCTCCACAAGTACATGGAAGACTCTCTAGAGGGATGACGGGGAAGTGTTGATTAACTTTCCCCTTACCTCACTAACAAGGCTAGGGTGTGGCACTATTTTATTGTTGTCGAGATACTCCCCACTACTAGCCTTGCCGATGTGACAAAGAAGAGAGCCATTCTGAATTTCTACGTTCAGAAAGGCATTTCTGTTGATGTCGGTGTTCTGATCCATGAGTCCATTTCATATATAGCTAGCGGTCATTCGACCGTAGGCTTAGGTCACCCTAGCCTGATTACGGCCTTATGTGCGAGGGAGGGAGTTTATGGAAGAGAAGATGAGGAGATTCTACACCCACAGAAGCTGATCAGTAGATCATCAGTAGATGTATATGCCTCGCTTCCTGCTACTAAACCTGAGCGCGGAGAGAGCTCATCCTGACGCCAATCTTCATTATCACGTGACTCCACCTTCACCGGCTTGACCAGAGACATGAGGGAGATGTTGACGCTCCACGGGACTTGATCAGAGATGTGAGAGAGCTCCACAACACCCATGACACCATGACATGGAAGCTTGACGAACTGCACCGCCAATCTGCCTACTACGCCAACCAGTACTAGCACCAGTAAGAGTGCATTCATGTTTGGCTGGAACCATTTCAGGAGCACTGGAGGTTAGGACCTGCACCATCACCACCGTTCACCATTTGGAGCCTGAACCGTGATACTATGGAAGAGAGCGACCGTGAGGAGTTGGGAGATTTGAGATTGTTTCTAATGTTTGTACAGTTTGAGTGATTGTCTTTTTATGTATTGCTGATGTACTAATGTAATTGTGGACATATTCTTTCTAATGTTTATATGAATGCTGATTTGATGCACTGCTGAAATTGTGGGCTGATTTTCCAGTATTACATTTCTTGCTTCATTTCTCGTCTTTCCTGTGCATATTTACCTACACTTTTATTTTTAGCACTCTGATAGCATGCTTCCATACTTTTTACTTGTTATAGCTTGATCTGTGACTCACAGACCTATATTGTTTAATATTCTATCGTTGCATTACTCACATGTAGCTAGTAGAGTGTGGAACAAGTTAGGGGGAGGAGTCATTATCTTGTTGGTTGCCTACAGGTAATTCATTAATTTGCTGAGATTATTTAATGCCTACTTTCATGCATCTTGGTCCATTAATTTTAGAAAGTAAAAATTAATTTGAGGAAATATAAAATCTGTTTAAAGTTAGGAAGGAAATGAATATTATTAATATGCCTAACATGTTTTTCTTCCACATAAACGCAGAAATCTTTCGATATTTAGAAAGGGGGATATGTGAGAGTACGGACTCCTCATTAGAGTGCTTAAGTCTTAACGTTTTATTTCAATAAGGGATGAAACTTAACTTGGTTGAATTTATTTAAAAACTAAGACCCATGATAAGGGATGGTTAAACATTTGATCAAGGTAGACGGGCCTCATATATATAAGAAAAATAATTGGATGGTTTGGAGGGG